GGACCTGTTGGTAATGGTCGCTCAGATAGCTCGTAAACCATCGCACGTCCACACCGTGCAAACGCAGCTTGTTAAGAAGGCGATCATGTGGGATAACATCAAAGCATTTTGACAAGTCAAGTAGTGATAAAAGAACAACATCGCCGCGATCCATCGCACTGAACACTTTGTCGGTAACAGTAAGAAGAGCGGTGTCTGTGGAGTGATTAGTTCTGAAACCGTGCTGACATGGTGCGAACAGGTGGCGCGAGGAGAAGTAGTAAAAAAGCTGCTCATACACAACACGTTCAGTGATCTTTGCGATGGTCGGTAAGATGGAGATAGGTCGGTAATTTGAAATGTCTGTTGATTTGGCTGACTTCTGAATAGGCTGCACGAACGTCAGATTTCATGAGCTGGGGACACAGTTAGAGACGAGGCTAGTATTGACAATGTGCGTTAAAACATGACAAAACGAGGACAGGCACAGCTTGACGAAGCGCACACACAGACCATCAGCACCACACGCCGTGCTACTGCGCATTCTGCCTACCACCCGCCGCAGGTCGTCTGGACATATGGGGAAACGCTAAAAGCCCCAGTACCAACACGCGGCAGGCGGGTCGGCAGCTCCGGGCCGACAGCTGTCACCTGGCGAGCGGTCCTCGGACCAACCTCCACAAAGTACCGATTTTTCGCAAATAACTTTTGATAGAGGCATGCTAGAGCGATGAAAACGCCTTAGATGTGTTTAGCTCGACGATACGGATCGACTGATATGCAACATGACCCTTTCCGGTCAGGACATGACCTTGACCTGAGGTCAAATTTTCAAGTTGACCTTTCAAGGTCAAGTTATAGTTCATTCGATGCGTCTTGACGAGAGGAACACGATGCCGGTAAAAGTAAGGTCGTACAAGGCTTGGGTCAAAAGTTATTGCAGAAAAACTGTTTCCGAAAAAATCGGCTATTTTTGCAGGTTTTGCCCCCTGCAGGCAAAACTGTTGAAGTTAGGTCAAATCTGAGAGAATTATTCAGAAAGGGCGTTAATAGGGCTATCGAATGCGCTTTTCCGCGGCGCTGTAGCTCTATTGGTTCCCGAGTTATGAGTTGGCTTCTTGGAAATTGTCGACATTCGACCTGGAAATCGGCGAAATTTTGCCTTCAATGACCTCTGGTGACGTGACCTTTGACCTGACCAAAAAATTGACCGAAGTGATTTCGTCATTATTTTTGACGCTCTTTCGAACGCCGCCTTCCGCGTATCGCTACGTGGCCCAGGAGCCGAGTTAGAAGGGGGGGGGGGTGTTCAAACAACCCCCCCCCCCCAGCAGGGCGTGGAAATCCAGGACCCCCTGCCGGGCGCGGGTTAAAGTGACCTTGACCCTGACCTATGACCTTGACCTCGGATTTTTTTGAATGTGCTACTGCTTCTCGATGAGACGAACACAGTGGTGGCCGAAATTTTCCGATAGCTCCAAAAATGAAGATTTTATAGGGTACGGGGACTAAAATTAACGTTTAAAGTGACCTTGACCTTGACCTATGACCTTGACCTCGGATTTTTTTTAATGTGCTACTGCTTCTCGATGAGACGAACACACTGGTGGTCGAATTTTTCAAATCGGACCATAAACAAAGATTCTACAGGGTACGCAGTATTTTGACCTGTCAAGGTCAAACGGTTTGACCTTGGAAAAAAAGGTCACCATTTTCGAACTCAGCGTGCCATGGGCTATCTGCATGCCAATTTTGAGCGAAATCATTACTCGAATTTGAATCCAAATTTTAACGTTTAAAGTGACCTTGACTTGACCTATGACCTTGACCTCAGATTTTTTTGAATGTGCTACTGCTTCTCGATGAGACGAACACAGTGGTGGCCGAAATTTTCCGCTAGCTCCAAAAATGAAGATTTTATAAGGTACGGGGACTAAAATTAACGTTTAAAGTGACCTTGACCTTGACCTATGACCTTTACCTCGGATTATTTTGAATGTGCTACTGCTTCTCGATGAGACGAACACAGTGGTGGCCGAAATTTTCCGATAGCTCCAAAAATGAAGATTTTATAGGGTACGGGGACCAAAATTAACGTTTAAAGTGACCTTGACCTTGACCTATGACCTTGACCTCTGATTTTTTTGAATGTGCTACTGCTTCTCGATGAGACGAACACAGTGGTGGCCGAAATTTTCCGATAGCTCCAAAAATGAGGATTTTACAGGGTACGGGGACTAAAATTAACGTTTAAAGTGACCTTGGCCTTGACCTATGACCTTGACCTCGGATTTTTTTGAATGTGCTACTGCTTCTCGATGAGACGAACACAGTGGTGGCCGAAATTTTCCGATAGCTCCAAAAATGAAGATTTTATAGGGTACGGCGATTTTTAAAGTGACCTTGACCTTGACCTATGACCTTGCCTTGGATTTTTTTGAATGTTCTACTGCTTCTCGATGAGACGAACACACTGGTGGTCGATTTTTTCAAATCGGACCATAAACAAAGATTCTACAGGGTACGCAGTATTTTGACCTCTCAAGGTCAAACGGTTTGACCTAGGAAAAAAAGGTCACCATTTTCGAACTCAGCGTGCCATGGGCTATCTGTATGCCAATTTTGAGCGAAATCATTACTCGAATTTGAATCCGAATACGAATACGACGCTAACTTTATGGACATACCTTTGACCAGACTTAAGAAATGACTGCTTTTGTCTTGATTTTCGAAGCTCTTTCGAATGCCGCTTTCCGCGTGTCGCTACGTGGCCCAGGAGCCGAGTTAGAAGGAGAGGGGTGTTCAGACACCCACCGGCCCGGAGCGGTTGGAACCGAGGACCGGCCTGGCGCGGGTTAAGGAGAGAGGCTAACGCGTGACTATTTTTGCTGGATCAAAGCCGGTTGAAGGGAAACTGCAGGGTGGTCTTATGCAGGGTCCGGCAAAAGTGTTGTCCTCTACCTAGGACAACACTTATGCGGTTTCTAATCGTTTCTGCCCCTAAGAGATAAATATTTTGGCTGTACCTCTGCATTGCACGGTCATTGGCCGCGGAACATGAGGTCGCGACCGAACCTCGGATCATGGGTCACCGAGCTACTGCCAGTTATACACAGATTGCCCCCCCCCTCCCCCGAATGGCCGCGTCGCAAAATGAAGGCAAAATGAAGGTAATAAATTGCAATCTCGGGGAGCTGAACCAGATAGTCGACATGCTTCAGGCCAAAATAACACAGCGTGTTATTGCTGGTCAGTTGGGACATCTGCCTGCACAGTCCCGCACTGGTGGGATAAGCATACGGCTGCTGGCAGTGTTGCTGATTGTCCGAGATCGGGCATTCGCCCACCATTTGGCCCGGGGAAGAAATCGCATTGAAATGGCGGCCAGGAAGAGTGGCCAATTGGTGAATAATTTGGCAAAGCTGCTCCCATCTCCAGACAGGACCATGAGACGCTATAGAAGAGCTCACTGAGGCTCATTACCAACAATAGCCTCCAGCGGCTCAGTTCTGAGTCGACGCATGGCCTCGACGGTGGATGACAGGTCAACATGCATTTTCATGCAGGACGGCGCGCCAGCTCATTGCTCTACCAATGTCCAGGGCCAGGCGGTTGTCCGAATCGAACCTGCCGGAATTCTGAAGAAATTAACCGGCTACCATCCGGGCCCTAATCCTGCTCGAGGATCTTTGGGCTACCTTCCAGCAAAACATGGACAAATAGAAGCCAGCGAGCCAGCTTCGGCGCCCTGCAGTTACAGCCAAACGGACATAGTCGAGAATAAAGTCGTCTGTGCTGCTAAGCTGGTTGCCAGCACGCCAAATTGCGTTCGTGCGTAAATCCCTGTTCAGTGTTCATATTTACCCACCTAGGTATGACAAAAAAGGTTGATGTTCGGCCTTAGCGTCGATGAAAATGGTGAAAATAATTCTGAAAAAATTGGCCGGCTGTGGGAAAGAACACGGATGAAAGGGGGGGGGGGCAAAAGATATGTTACCCCCCCTTTCAGCGCCGCATGTCCGGACATGCCGCATGTCCTTCACGGACATCAGCGCCAAAGGGGGGGCATGGCCCCTTTGGCCCCCCCTGGATCCGCCCTTGTCCTCACGAGCTCGATGAGAGCGGGATCCTCAGGCCAAGTGTGAAGTGTTTAATAGCAGCATCCAAAGTACGCAACATCCAAAACCGCAGCGTCCAAAGTACGCAACGTCCAAAATACGTCCAAAATCGGGTTTATAGGGGGCATTCACAAAGTCCAAAACCGAAACATCCAAAAACGCAACGTCCAAAAACGTATCATCCAAAAAACGCAACATCCAAAGTACGTAATCTCCAAAATCACAACGTCCAAGACCACGACATCCAAGGCACGCAACATCCAAAACCAACCTAACCTAACCTAACCTAACCTACTGATTTTTGCCTATCCCTAACCCAACCTAACCTAACCTAACCTAACCTACTGATTTTTGCCTACCGGGGATAAGGAAACCCAACCTAACCTAACCTAACCTAACCTAACCTAACCTAACCTAACCTAACCTAACCTAACCTAACCTACTGATTTATGCCTACCGGGGATAAGAAAACCTAACCTAACCTAACCTAGCCTAACCTAACCTAACCTAACGGTTTTGGATGTTGCGTACTTTGGATGTTGCGTACTTTGGATGTTGCGTACTTTGGATGATGCGTCCTTGGATGTTGCGTTTTTGGATGATACGTTTTGGATGTTGCGGTTTTGGATGTTTCGGTTTTGGACGTTGTGAATGCTCCCTATATACCCGATTTTGGACGTATTTTGGACGTTGCGTACATTGGACGCTGCGGTTTTGGATGTTGCGTACTTTGGATGCTGCGGTTTTGGACGCTTTGATGGTCCCCCGTTTAATATTACCCACCATTTAGAATAACATATGCCAAATATTTATAACCTAAAATATTGCAGCCAAATAGGCTGCGCCACTGCATCTATCAACAGCGCAATGTCTGTCGACAAAAAGGGTCCGGCAGCTTGAGAATTTCGATCAACACCATCAAACCCTTGATAAAACCAAGGCCCTATCCATCAAACCATTATAATCGTTCTATAGCCGGTATAAAGGGCATTCCTATTGCCATTTATAGTCACCGTGGCTATAGCCTTGATCAAGGCCGTATGTTCTAACCAGTTCTAACTTATATGGCCTTAGTTTCTATGGCCTTGGTTTCTATGGCCTTGATTATAATAGAGTCCTGTGATCAACACGCAGTGTTTCTGCTGTTATTTGGTCGCTTTTGACATTGCCTTTCACACAGATTTGATTGAACCGTTTTTAGTCCTATAAGGCACTGTAATAGCAATTGTACCCAAAATTTATATAGCCTTGCCCAAGATTGTACCTCAGGACTAGAGGAAGTCAGGACCCAAGTCTATTGCACAGAAATCTGAGGACGGACACGTTCAGCGCCTTGGGTTCAGCGTTTTTTCTGCACATTGACATCAGGCAAGTTCCTCGGCATTAGTAGAGCAGACGTCACACCAAGGTTTTCCAACCAAGGAGAAGCGCTGTAGGTTTGTAGGTTGTAGGGTAGGTTTTTAGGTTGAAGGTTTGTAGGTTAGGTTAGGTCAGGTTAGGTTAGGTTTGTTTAGGTTTTGTTAGAAAGAAGTACCTACCTCCCAGTCTGCAAAAGGTGGCAGGGAGCTCGACGAGATTTTCGGGGCAGACAAAATTCTGCCCGGAATCAGGGTGCTGAGAGACGAGGTGCAGCCCAATTCTGGTTCCCAAATGGTATAATGGTCCCAGGGGCAGCCCATTTCCCATCTTTTTCTCATCTCTGCCCCAAGATTTCTCAATCCTGCCCCGATTTCTGCCCCTGATTGTGAGAGCTGCCCCGACAAGATCTCGTTGAAACCTGCCACGTTTTTTCAGCCTGCCTACCTTCAGGCATACCTAGCGCCTTTTCTTGGTTGGAAAACCTTCGTGTGACGTCTGCTCTACTAATACCAGTTCCTCTATGAAACACTCTTCCAGCTGATTTCGCCTTTAGGCACCCTTTAAAAACTGATGAAATTCATAAAACAGGAGCATGAAAAGAAAGAACATATCCTAAGGTTGAAAAGTGTGATCACACACAGATACTTATGATACTTTTTACACAAAACATCAGTAATGCTGATTTAGCTGAACCACAATGTTGAGTCTAAGTGTGCTGTGTGAGGGCTGTTCGGCTGTGCAGCCAAAATGAAATGTGCTGCAGCACGCAGGGGCGTCGCCACGGATTTTTGAGTGGGGGGGTCGGGTTTCCGGTCTTCGTCTTGATGGGTAGGGGTGTTTTTAGCCACACTCCCGTTTTTTTTTTCGTGTGCCCGGAGAAAAACCTCGGCGCACAGCGCCGCGAAAGCAGCAGTATATCTTATTGTACATAAATTTTGCATCGTGCATAAAAGTCAAGCAGAGTTCACCTGAGGTCAGGTCACAATGTCATGTCAAGTTCAGTTTTAATGCCTCTTAAAACTGCAATCTTGTCTTTCCTATAGATTATCTCCTGACTCCTATAAGTCTGAAATTTGGTGTAATGATTGGGATTAAAAGTGCCAACAGTTCATGAATCTGGGATTTTACATCTGAGAAGCGAAGTCAGGTCAAATAGGTGTGTGACCTCACCAATCATTATAAGATATGGGAAAAAGCACGATGCCCTCTGCTTTGAAAGAATATGCTAAAACGCTAGATACTTTTGTAGCCATGGCACCTTGTTCATTTTAGAGATAAGGTGCAGCTGATGACCAGTGGTGACTGAAATGGTCAGTCATTAGGTCATCAAAGGTCTCTAACACATTTTCGACAACAACTTTTGATGGAGACGTTGTAGAGCGATGACAGCACCTGGAGTGTGTTCAGCTCAGTAACACAGATCGATCCATATGCAGCAGGTTCTTTTCCGGTCAGGTCATGACCTTTACCTGATGTCAAGTTTTCTATTCAAGTTTTTAAGTTCAAATTGTAAGCCATGCGAGTGTTTCGACGAAACAAAAACGATGGTGATAACATGAATATCATACACATTCACTGAATCATAGGTTGTTACAGAACAAATGTTTCGGCAAAATCCGTCCGTTTAGCTGTTTGGACTCTATGGTACACAAGCCATAGACCCGAAGTCATATTTGAGGCGAAGTTGGCGAAAGAGCTTTAAAAAGCTGTCGAATACGCTTTCTGTGTTGCTGTAGCTCTTATTCGTATTTTGCGGGTCGGCGGTCGCTAAGGTAAAACGTTTACCAACGTAACGCATAAGGCATGCTTTCGGCCCCTGATCGAGGTAGAGTTTCGCGGAAGAGCGAAAATGCTGCCCGTGATGAGAGAAAGCCGATGATGCCCAATTTCAAGGTCTTGGCCGGGTCATCTTGGTCAACGCCCAAAAGTAGGAAAAATCTGGCCGCCTGCTAGAACTTAGTGAGCCGTAGCTGTTATCGGGGTCCCGAGTACGAGTTCGATGTTAGTCTTGAACAAAGATGATGACTCCATGCATTTTGGGTAGATCGGGTCGGGTCAGGTCAGGTCGACCAGCAGGCTTCCTGCCGGCCATCTAGAGTGGGTGACTGACAACCACCAACGATAGCTTCGTAACATGTTCATAACCATCATTTATCAAAACTACTTCAAACGGTTCAAACGGGCGCTAAACTCGAAATCAGCCCCAAAAACCACACTTGTAAGTGGAAGCAAATAAAACTCAAAAAAAGTTAACCAAGGTCATCCATATTCGAATCAGGGCCAATTTTTTTTTAGAATAGGTGTAAAATTCATTAACCCTCGCCCGTATTGGTGTTTTTCAGCCGCGAACGTATAAGGGGGGGGGGGGGCGGTCCGTTGGAAACCCCCTTGCCGTTTCGCCCCTGATCGAGCTAGAGCTTCGCGGAAAAAAACGAGCGTGTTGCCCGTGACGAGAGGAAGCCGATGATACCCAATTTTAAGGTCCTAGGTCCCAAAGGCGGGAAAATCGGGACCTGTTAGAACGTCGTAAAGTGTGGCTGCTATGGGGTTTTTCGGGGTGCTGATCACGAATATCATGTTAGTTTTGATCACAGATGATGTCTTCATGTATTTAGGCCAGGTTGGGTCAGGTCAGGTCAGGTCAACCAGTAAGGGTATTCGTAGTAGGTGGCAACCGCCTCTGACAGCTTCGTAACATGTTACGAAGGCACCAAAACTACTTCGTAAATATTCATATGGTTGCTAAATTCGAATTCAGCTCCCAAAACTGGCCTGGTAACATGTAAAACTCGAAAAAGTGAACCGAGGTCATCAAAGGTCAATGACCTGACCTGACCTTCAGGTGACCTTGACACCCACCCTTATGCATGGGGACAACATCATATCACATGTTTGAACGCTTGAAACCACGAAAAGACTGCAAACGCGCGGCTAATGCGAGCCGGCATACGCCGAATCGCGATTCCAGCCAAACATGGTCTCGAAAAGTAGGTCACAGGTCAAAGGTCATTTGGGTCAGGGTCATCAGTCATGAGATTTTCAGGGTAGGTGTGAAATTGATGAACGCGAGGGTACTGAAAGTTTCGCCGCGATCGGCCGCTTTTTACGCGAGTTATTCGCGAAAAACCATGGGGGGGTCCGTTCGACCCCCCCCCTATACGGGCGAGGGTTAACTCGAGGTCACTGGAAGTTTCGTTGCAATATACTCCTTTTTGCGCGTCTTATTAGGAAAGCACCAGAGGGATCCACCATCTGACCCCATTTCCCCTATGCAGGCAGGTCCGAGGGTAGCAGGGCTGAGGCTAGCCAGGTACCTCGTAGTTACTGATACGTCATCCGACGAATCGACTGCAACCATTATTTTGACAATCAGACGAACGTTTGGGTCAGTTTTGACGCGCTCGCTCATTTGAGGGATAGAAAGGGACTAAAATCATATTGTCATGCTGATGTTCTAGCCCACAGCTTATTGACCTATAAGCAATAGGGACTAGGGAGCTCTTGAAGCGATTCTGAATCTGACGTTGTATTTGTTGATGTTGCTGACGCCAACTTCCCTGACATGATAGCTAAAAAAAAGCATACTCAGCATCGCCAAAAGTGGGGGGGTCGACCCCCCCGGTTCTGACGAGTGGGGGGGTCGCGACCCCCCCGACCCCCCCGTCGGCGACGCCCCTGGCAGCACGCATGCGTAGTGAGGGCTATGTCACCCATTAGTCCCGCCCACACCACTGCGTCATCGCCTGTGTGATGCCACCCACTAAAGCATAGGTACTTCTCTTTCCTGCAGCTGGAAATTTGGTGCTACAGGAGACAAAAGTGGCACGGATGTAAGTTTATCATCCAATATTTCTTACCGCAAGTTTTATCGTTAGTTTAGCGGCATGCTGCAGGAGAGTGGGCGGAGCCAGGAGGCTGACGTCACCCAAGTATGAGGCACGCAGCACAGATTTATGCTGCAGGAACCCGAACAGCCCTCTGGTAAGGCTATGTTACAAGTCAAGTTAGGTCAGGGCAGATAAGGTTTTGTTATTTTTGCTTGAAGTGCATCTGATTTTTTTTTAGTATTATATGATTGTGCAAACTGCAAAATGCAAACATTGTCTGGGTTGATATATGGTTTTTGATGATTTGGTGTGGTTTTACTTCAATTTTGAGCCTAGGGTGCAAAAGGAAGATTTCACCGTCAGTTAGGCAGACTGCCTCTGAAATAAATAAAAAATGAAGGCATTAAAAATTGATTCTTCATGAGGATATTTGGCATGAATAATTGCAGACCCTCTCCTTTCTAAATCACCAATTATCTGAATATATGTGGGTGTTTGATGTTTCAAGAAAGAGTTAACCTGAAAATGTTAAAACTGTCAAATGAATGCAACAACATTGCTCTAATTAGAGCAATCTGACTAGTGACTGACAAAAGTAATGAAAGGCAATAAAGAAATTGATTCACTTTGAACAGATGTTCAAAATATTGATTCTGCACTCAGTTGGCTTATCAATTTTTTGATTCACAGGTAATGTAATTTAATTTAAAAATTGAAATCCTTTGAGTGCTTGTCTAAACCCCCCCCCCTATACCTTTGGTCACGTGACTGCCATGATAAACTTTGCGTTTTGCAATGATATGACTTAAACCGAAGTAATAAATGTTACAAGTTTATTATTTATGATGTTTTAGGCAGCAATCGTGTAAATATATCCTGGAATTATATATAAACTGCTGAAAAGAAGTCACGCGATGTTACCAGATTGTGCTCGGACAGCATCTTCTTGAACTTCGATTTTGAGTATTTTGTACCTTCATTGAGGCCTAATAACGGACGTTTTTAGTTATAAAATGAAGCACTGAATCTAATAAGGGCGAAATTTAATCATTTTTGCACTTTCAAGGCCGGGCTATCCTGGCATGAACTTCGGCCAGTTTTTGTGTAAAGCCTATGGTGAAAGGAAAACTTCACGCCCGGCTGACGTCACAGACCTCGGCTACCAAATCGTGCCCGCTGGGG